AAGAGACATACCAAATAATACAACCTGATGAAGACCAACAACAGAGTCTTTTAATACCGACTTTGTAGTGCTTCATTGACCCTCACTTATTTTTTAGAAAATGTTGAGCACTCACTATGACCAACCATCCCATGAGGTTGTTGTTGGTGCCATTGTCTCAGAACTGACAAAGAGCTGACCCTCCAGCAGGTTTTCGGAGGCCGTAAATCACCTGGGAGGAGATTGTCTGTTCTTCTCCTCCTAAGGAACAGTTAGTTGGTGGGTTTCAGTGAGGTGCCTTTGGGACTGCAGCATAGCTTCTTACCACTAGGCCACCAGAGTGCCCTATACGGTACAAGTTTGCAAAGATCAATAAAAGAGGTCCCCTTCCTCAAGAAACTAGTAATAAAGTGAGAATAAATACTGACACTAGACATTTGTACATGCCTAGGAGAAAGAATACCCAAGTCAGTCTTCAGAAGGCTTCCTGGAGGAGATGGTAAGTAGTTGTTCTGCCAATCCAAAGGTTGGTGGTTCAAATCCCCCAACTTCTCCACAGGAGAAAAATGAGCAGTCTCCTCTCATGTAATTTATAGCCTCTGAAAATTCGCTGGAGGGCCAGCTATGAGTCATTTCCAACTCAATGGCACATAACAATAACAAAAGAGGACAAGAAGTTTGCTAAGACAAAGGAGGAAGTCATCCTAACAAAAGAAAATAGACTGCAAAGCATGGGACTGTGAAAACAAGTAAATCCTGGGATCTGTGAAGTTGTTGATTATTGTTTACTTATGAAGTGAAAGGAAAGATTGGCAGACTATGAAGCTACAAAGAGGCAGGCTTCTAGTGGAAATGGAACTGCTTCTATCTCTAGTTGAGAGAGAATGGGGAGGATTAGGTGGTGGGATTTGTCTTTAAGGAGCCTCACTAAAGTGGCAGTTTAAAGGGTGGTCTGGAATCAGGGAGGAGGCTGATTTTTAATCCAGGAAAATCCTGGTGTAGGCCTGTGCGGTGACACTCTGAGCCAGGCCAGAACTTGCTTTCCTGCATGATTCACCCATTTCCCAGGACGTCTGAGTGATGGTGCTGATCATGAACCATAGCCAAGAAGCATTTACATCTCCAAAACTGTGATTTGTGGTCTTCACAAAACTCCCTGTAAGAGACCACCCTTCCCCTCATCCACTGGAACTAAACAGATGTCACAATCAATCAATGGTGAAGCTAAGCTTTTTTTCTCCACAGCAAAACTGACGTGGTATTGAACTTGTAAAGGCAGTGGAAGCAGGTGGTTTTTTAATAACTCATAATCCATTTTCTCATCATTAATACAACCTCCCCTCTGAGCTCATGGTTTAGGTCAATCTAGGAGTCTTTTCCAAATAAGGCAGCCAGGTGCCTCTCAAGGTGGCTGGCCTCTCTTGCAGTGTTCACTAGCTCTGACTCAGCTCTCTCACACTTTCATACATTTGCTCCTTCTGTTCCTTCTCCTGAAATGACTTCCATTATGTTTTGAAGTCTTGAAGATCTGACTTCAAATTCTAGTGCAGCCATTCCTAATTTGCCTGATTTTGTACAAGTTGCCCAAGTGTTCTGACCCTGCCTTTTAAAAAGATGGCCAAACCTTTATAGCTGAGGTTAGAGATAAAATTTGTGATGTTTTCAACATGCCATCCCAGAGCCAGCCATCAATATCCAGTAGCTATTATTGCTGAATGAGACTCCACTTTAAGAATTTACCATGTAAAAGAAAACATGTATAGGTATACATATGTATGCGTGTGTGTTGTGTTCTTTCTGTTGTACTTTACAATTCTTTGCTTACATAAATTGTACACATCTGAGGGGGATAAAAAGAATTTACCATGAGAGTTTCTCATTCTACACTGAAAAGAAGAAAGTGGAGTATTGAAAGGTTTGGTAATACACCTGTTGGTACCAGGATAATACAAACTTGCTGTTTTCTTAACCAGACTGGTTCGAGGTGACCCTTTGAGTGCTCTCTTGATTTCCATATCCAGCTGTAGAATCCTATTGTGAATTATAATTAAGACAGGTGGTGAAAAAAGAGTCTTAGAACTTGGCATTAAGAGCAAAAACAAGTAGAAAACTTTGAGGAAAAAAGCTAGTCCTTCTCTAAAGCAGGAAAGCTTGGAAGAAAAATGGCCATTTTATTGTTGTGTACTGTTGGACTGGAACCAGGAGGAAACTTTCTCTGGAAGTAGCAAGACTTGTTTGATTTCATTACCATGAAAGAATTGTTCATTGTTAGGGCAGGTTACTGACAAAGGGTGTGGAATCTTCTTTAGGACATGTTTTGTTTTGTTTAAAAAAAAAAATGAACTATAGTAATAGTAAAGTATGTGATGAGATTACCCCTTCTGGGCTATATCAAATGTAGACCTGCCTACAACATGGGTGAGAATTTGTGTCTCAAACCCATTGAAAGGCTGAGGTCACTTGGGTAAATTCTTCAAAACCTACATCGGTCTCCCAAAGGCATTACCTATGGAAAATAGCACCTTGGGCCATTAATTCTAAATTGCTGAGTGCTTTTTCTCTCTCTCTCTTGACCTGCAAACTAATGACCAATAGAAACCTGCTCATTGTTGACCCACTCAAGTGGCACCTCGGGCACATGCCATGCCTGCCATATAGTTCCAGATTTAAAAGATTTTTGAGATATCGTGGTGCCTTCCTAATTTTCCTGGTCCTGTAGACTTTCAAGTTGAACTTGATATCTTTAATCAATATGTGGGGTTTCCTCCCCTGCATTCTCATCTTTGTTACTATAATAGCAATGATATTAACTCAAACTCTTATTGTATTCCAGATGGAATTGATTCAAAGCCCCTCCAGCAGGTTTCCAAGGCTGTAAATCATATCACATACATTGGGTAATACATCTCTTGGTGCCGATCGTGGGATGTAATTGTCCATCTTTTTCCTATGGAGCTGAGGGTAGATTCGAGCCATCAGAGAGGCACCAGCTTTGGGTTAGCGACCCAACTCTCTACAGAATAATCCACCAGAGTTTCCACAATGACACAAACAGGAGCCTTAAAGAGATCCTCCTTAATTCCACTGTGTAACTATTGCAGGAGATAGGCAATCTCTTTCCATGCAAATTTAGTGAGCTCTGGTGGCCTTGTTGTAAGGAGCTGTGCTGCCAAACCAAAGGCAAGCAGTTCAGATCCACCAGCTGCTCCACGGGAGACAGATGAGCAATTTCATCCTGTGTGATTTTCTGCCACTGAAAACCTGCCTGCCGGTCAGCTATGGGTATGTTCTGACTCGACATAACAACAACAATAACATGTACATAACAACATGTAACTATTACATTTTTGGAGAAGTTCTTCCCTTTAATTTTCTACTTATCTCTTAATATGTCATCAAAATAATTCTAAAAGCGTTCTATTATCATTATCTTATAGCTGACTCAATGGCACATAACAACAATATTAGTAATGAGGAAATTGAAGGATTAAGAGACCAGATAATATTGCCCTAGGAGCTCTGTTGGCCTAGTGGCAAGAAGCTGTGCTACAATCCCCACATTTGTGGCCCCTAAAAGCTCCCTGGAGGAAGGTTAGGCAGTCTCCTCCCGTGTGGTTTACTGTCCCTGAAACCTGCTGGAGGGCCAGCTATGAATAGGTTCCAACTCTACAGTCCACAACAGCAACAAGTAACACACAGAAGCTCTGGTGGCATAGTCTATAGCATGTTATGCTGCTGACCAAGAGGCCTTGAGTCGAGTCTTCAGTAGTCCAAAGCCATCAGGAGTTCTGAGAGAGAAAGACATGCGGTCTCCTTCCATTAAGATTTACAGTCTTATGAAAGTGTGGAATAACTTCTTAATTACTTTTGGTGATCTTTCATTTTATGAGGTGAAGCCTACCTAGGTAACTTGCTTTACCCAGAGTCTCTGGCTTTAGATTTAATGTCTATTGATTAAAAAGATTTGATGAAAATCTTTCTAAAAGGTGTAATGATTTTTCTTTTAAAAAAAAAGGATTTACAGCCTTAGAGAGCAGATGGAGGCTCACAACAGAACTGACTAGATGAGTCTGGTTTTGTTTGGGGTGATACATATATATTAAATGTCTAAATCAGAAGTACAAATAAGAAATAACTCCAAAATCTGTGTTCTTTCCTATGCCACTCTACTGTAATACTGGTGATTAATAAAGTCACTGGGTAAGGACTTTCTCTGTCAACCCAAAGGCAGGCAATTTATATTCTCCAACTGCTCTAAAGGAGGAAGAGAGGCAACCTCCTTCCCTAGCGATTTACAGCCTTTGAAAACCTGCTGAAGCGTCAGCTATGAGTCTGTTCCAATTCAATGGCAATGAGTTAAATTTTCTTGTGGTTTCTATGTATTATCAATAATAACAGTCTTGAATTATGACATCTAAAACTCAGCAAACAGTTCCTAGAAAAGACACCAGTAGTTTATCAATTCTGAATGTAAAGGAGAAACGTCAAATTAATTTACTCAACAATAAACAAGATATTTTCATTTAGGAAAACAAAAAGGCTGTAACTTTAAATCTAGACCAACTAAGAGTCAATTGCTGATCTGCATTTCCATTTCACTTTTGGATCCCTTGGCTAGAAAGCCTTATAATTCTTGTTAATAATCCCATTTAATATCCCTGTGAATGAAATGTGTAATTAGGCACCTGGGCAGCAAGTGCTAATGAATTGTAATTCATAGAAGGAGAAGAAAAATCAGCTTCCGCTTACCTACATGAATAGCATAAAAAGAAGTGCTTGCCTCTCCATTTGGGCCTCAGGTTGTGTGAAAGAGAAATTCTGTGGGCTTTTCAACTGCCATTTTCACTCGTGTCTTTATAAGGATTCCAAGGAGGAGGCAAGATTGGAGGAACCTTGATTAGAAACAAATGAAGGAACTTGTGATCCAGGGACTGATCAGGACTCTAGCCTGGCTCCTAATCTGGTTTGAAGTGATGACAGCACTGGTGCTAATTGCATTAATTTGCTTTTCTGCAGGCAGAATGGGGAAACAGAATAGCAAACTGGCCCCTGAAGTGATGGAGGACCTGGTGAAGAGCACAGAGTTTAATGAACATGAGCTCAAGCAGTGGTACAAAGGCTTCCTCAAGGACTGCCCAAGTGGGAGGCTGAACCTCGAGGAATTTCAGCAGCTCTATGTGAAGGTAGGTTGTCGTCTACATTTATTTGACACAGGTCAGAATAAAGTTGTCTGCAACAAATGTTGCTTCAAATGGAACTATAACTCTAAGCTGTCATTTTATTTCAAATCTGGTGGTTTTCCACTCAAAGAAGCAAAACGGACTTTAAATATTTAAAAAAGAAAATTGTCCTAGAGATGAGTCAAGCAATTTTTTTTAACATGAGAATCTTAAGATTTCATTGTCATGTTAATAAAACAAGATGAAGCATAGAATTGGATCATTTGGCCTCTCCTTATCTCCTCCCAGTTCAGTATGCTTGAGTCTTTTAATAGCCAACATTTTCTTAGATCTGCAGTTCAACTCAACACATTCAAGCTTTAATACAATCGTCTTTGTATTTCTAGCCTTTATTCCAGTAAATTTGTTTAGCCTGCCCATTGTATCCACTCTGCTTCCTGTCGTAACACAGCAGTTCTCTGGTCTTGAAGAGAATCTTTGCCTTTCTTAAACTGTGTCAATTTGTGAGGTTGATACTTGCCAAAATTCTTACTGAAAGATGAGTGTGTTTTAGGAATATGTACCCTGTTTTCAGGAATCTTATGGGGGTAAACTCAAGTCTTTTTTTCACATAAAAAGCAATAGTTAAATCAAAACTCAGTTCAGAGTGTGACAGCATCTGGCAAAAGAACCATACAAATGTTAGATAATAGAATTTCATAATTACTGACAAGCTGCTAATTAAACACTACTTGCTTATTAAGGGGTCCTGGTGGTTAAGTGCTATGCTGCTAACCTAAAGGTCAAAGAGTTTTAACCCATCAGCCAGGAGAAAGAGATTGATGGCAGCCTGCTTGCATATATATTGTTGTTGCTGTGTGCTGCCGAGTCAGACCCAGCTCATCACTAACACTCCAGTGGACGTGCAGGGGCAGTACAGGGTTTTAAGAGGCTATCTTTTTTCCCATGGAGCATCTGGTGGATTTGAACAATGAGCCTTCAGGTTGGCGGTGCAGTTCTATACCACTAGTCCACCAGAACTCTCTTCCATAAATATTGTAGCCTTGGAAGACAGCTCTACTTATCCTATGGAGTTACTTTGAGTCAAATTTGATTCAGCAGCAGCAGGGTTTGCCTTGTTAAAGACATCTGCATGCCAAGACTGTGGCCCTCAGACACCCGTCAAGCCTGGAAATGAACTCATTCTCATGGACCAACTTTTAGCCAAGCAACAGACAGGGTTATAAGGTGAATAATAACACCAGGGATAGGCAAAGATCAATCAATCACAGAAAAACTAATTGGGGGGGGGAGGGGAAATCCCCAAATGACAGCCTTTGACTAGGGATAAAGTTCAGTAGGCAGATAGGGAAAAGAAAGAAGAATGAATGAAAACGAGAATTATAGGGAGGAAGTGGGAAGAGTGCTGCTACACTGGGAGCATTACAATCAATAGTGTGCAACAAAATGTGTATAAATTAGTAAATGCAAATTAGTTTCCAAACTTTCTCCCAAATCACAATAAAAAGTGAAAAAAATTAACTTAGCAGAAAGTATTGGTATCTTTGTCAATTAGAGAGAAAGTACAGTACCTATGAAGGCCTTTTCTCATGAAATGTCCTCCTATTGGTAGACAAGATGACAGGTCAGATTCCAATAAATCATTGTTTAGCAGAATCTACACTTTTGATTCATGTGTTGATTGCAATTCTCACCAGAAATCTGTTTTGTCTTTAAACCTTTACCCAAATAACAGTAATCTGAGCATCACTGTCCACAGTGGGCACTTTTAGCTCAGAGTTATGTGCTATGAAGAAACTACTTTCTCTGTAGAAACTGAGCAGAACTGTGCCAACAAAGCAAAAAATTTTATTGTGGTGATACTGTCTCTGTTTGTCTGAAGTTGCAAATTGCATTGCAGATTTAGCATAATCACAAACATTTTGTGTATTCTATTTTATATACATTTTGTCTGTACATGGGTAATAGTATTCTTGTAGAAAGAACAGATTTTTCTATTAGCTTTTTCTGACTAAAATTCAAAGCAGAAAATAGTGCTATTATTTAATTGTAGCAACTAAATTTCACCAATAAGAGAGAAGTATCATATGCATAGAGGGGATGAGATTGTATAGAATATTGCTACTCTCTTAAAGCTGAACATTACACATAATGTGTAATCCAGCAACTTCACTCCTGCACATGTGCAAGAAAGGATATGTTTAATAATGTGCATAGCTGCACTGTATATAATAGTAAAACACAGGAAGAACCCAAATGCTCATCAGAGAGAGAGTGAAAAAATAAAAAGTAGTGTAAGTCCTTTTAACAAATTACTCACTCTCACTCATTGCTGTAGAGTTGGAACCAACTCTTAGCTGACCTCCAACAGGTTTTCAGGGACTGTAAATGACATGGGGAACAACAATGTCAGTCTGGAGACTAAGGTGCACCTGATACAGGCCATGGTCTTTGCCATTACTTGCTATGTATCAGAGAGCTGGACAATGACTACGAATGATAGAAGAAGAGTTGATGTCTTTGAGTTTTGGTGCTGGAGAAGAGTATTGAATATATACCATGGACTGCTAGGAGAACAAACAAGCTCTTCCTGGAGAGGGTGAACCCAGGCTGCTCCTTGGAGGCAAGGATTCTAAAGCTTCATCTGAAGTGCTTTGGACATATTGCAAGGTGGGACCAGTCCTTGGAGAGGTACATCATGCTTAGGAGGGTGGCGGGACAGTACAGGAAAGGAAGACCCTCGATGAGATGGTTTGATTCCATCACTGGGCTAATGAAGATAGGTGTGTCAGAGACAGTGAGATTGGCAAGGGGTAGAGCAGGGTTTAGGGTTGTTGTTCTTATGGTCGCTATGAGTCACAGGCGACTCAACGACACATAACAACAACAACAACAAATGACATGGGAGGATGATTTCACCCTCTGAGTGACTGGTGGATTTAAACCTCTAGAGAGGCACCCCGTTTTAGGTTAGCAGTGCAACTTCCCACAGACTATGCTACCAGAAATACCCCCGTAACAAATAATGTTTGGGGAAACTGCATAATTGAGTGCAGAAAAATCAAACAGGATCCACACTCCCCCCATACACTGTAGATCAATAACCTGGATCTCAATGTTAAAACTATGAAGTTTTAAATTTAACCTAAAACTAAAGGAAGATGGAAGAGGGATAAAGTTAGGGATTCTAATTTTTAGCATAAACATACTATCAAACACAACTTAAAATGCATGCACAACAAAAAATACCCTAAATAATTGTTATGTTGTTGTTAGGGAAGTCTGGTGGCCTAGTGATAAGGACCTTCTAAATACTTAGGCTGATCAAAAGACTTTACAAAAAGAATTAAAAAGATAACAACTGAGGGGAAAGAAATTTGATAATTATATACATGGCTAGAGTTCTAATCTTTAAATTATATAGAAAATTCCAAGTACTCAACAACAAAAAGACAAACAATCCAATTAAAAAGTGGGCAAAGAACATGAACAGACATTTCACCAAGGAGAACATTCAAGTGGGAGTTCTGGTAGATAAGCTATTGTGCCATCAACCCAAAGGGAGTTGGTTTGAATCCACCAGCTGATCCAAGGAAGAAAGATGGGCAAGCTACTCCTGTGTAATTTATAGCCTCTGGAAACCCACTGGAAAATTTTGAGTCAATTGTGATTTGACAGAGCATAAAAACAAGAAGAAGCACGTGAAGACGTGCTCCTGGCCATTAACCATTCCAGACATGCAAATCCAAACTGCAGTAAGTGCCGTTTCACCTCTGAAATAATCACACTGAACATCACCACTAACAATAAGTGTCTTTAAGTCTCATAAATTAATCCCATCAAATCACTGGATATGTGTAAGACGTATCCATTAACTGTGCCCCGAAGGAGCCTTACCGTATGCATGCATATAAGTACCACGTTACATACTATTCTCACAAACAAATCTATACATGCATGCAAGTGTACTCTCACACACACATTTCTATACCCACATAGCCTATTTATCTATCCATGTAATTGCTTATTTTTTTTTTGCTTGTTATTACTGTTGTTGCAAAATTATAAATGTTAGAGTAGTGGACTCACACATTCATTGCTGTCCAGTGGGAAACTACCCATAGCTAGACCTCCACATACTTTCCAGAAGCTGTAAATTGCATAAGAGGAGACTGCCCATCTTCCTTTCACACAGCTGCTGGTGAATTTGAAGGGCCAGCCCTTGGCTTGGCAGTACAGCTCCTTAGCCACTTATCCCTTAGGCCTGTGTACGTTTCGGTGTCTTCATTTACCTTGGTAAAGTTGTGCTGACTTCCCCTATGTATAGTGTGTTATTAGAAGCTAACTAACAACAAAATGAACAATGAGTGGACCCTGCAGTCCCTGACATGCATCAGTGATCCATCTAACAAGTCATACCTGAGGTTCTCCGCAGATGTATACAAATCTATATTCTTGAATAAGTATAGAAAGGCGCATATATAATTGTATGTGTGCATTTTATAAATCACAGTGATATAGTTAAGATTTGAACAATTAGCCTGTGGAGATCTTTTCTACGGAAATGTTAATAAATGTGTCTAGTAGTCAATGTAGATAAATCGCTTGTACAGAGAAGTAAATTGGCATGCATTTCCCAGCTTATAAGCCACTCTCCATTGTTTTCAAAGTCACATCTGCCATTGTATCACCCAGAAGTCAGCCTGTGCCTCGAAACTGTCTTCACTTTCAGCCTCTAGGAGAGTTAAGACAAATGAAATTTGTCAGTGCCACATTGATATTGCTAAAGGTCATGCAAGCTGTCACCCTGTGTTTAAGAGAGTTCTGTGTGCTCAGTGCCTTACTTTTTTTTTAAGATAAGGGGAGTTTGCCTTTGAAGACAGGGTTGAAATGGAGGAAATGAGGTATTCATGTGTGTACTGGAAATACTGCACCAGCCTCATGATGGGGACCATGTAAACAGCAAGCACACCCTAACACGTTACGTCACAATGATGCATATG